GGGGTGTGTGGGATGTCAACAAGCCGGCTCATCGGATTATGTCGATGTTCACAGCTCAAGTTGTTGAGGAGGTTGGTGCATATTGCGCGGGTACTTCTCGTAACCTGTGGATGAACGCACCCCAATCGAGCGGGCGGACCAGGTGTTGAAACCTGCGTGAACGGCGGCAGGGAGATCAGCTACATGACTTGTCGTGGGTGGGAAAGTGGATGATTCGAAGCGGGTATTGAAGGCGGCTAAGCATTGAAAACAAGTGTTTTTCGAGAATGTGACAAAAGCATGCATGTAGAGCATCTACTGTCGCAACAGAAGCGCGGAAGATGAGGTCGAGAGGGTGTCATGAGAACGGCACATGAATTTTGGGCGTGGTTGTGATGGTCTGGCGAGGGTTGGCGACCAAAAGAAGACGAAAGACGGTGCATGGTCAGTCCAGGACAACCTGTGCAGGGTTAGTGTTGCAGCGATGTAGGTCGTCGTCAGAAGCGTTCTTGACAAAAAAAAATCTAAAGGACTTACTGTCAAGTGTGATGAGTGTCCATAAAATTATTTTCGGATCGACCGCGCTCACTGGCTGATCAACGGAAAGACGTCAGTCTCAGTCCGGTTGGTTGAAAGCACCAAAAACACTTTCTAAATGCCATGAACGGGGACCCCGTGAGGGGGCGGCATGGAGGAGGCTAAGAAACTATCCGGATTCGGATGAAAGACAGAAACGGTAGCAACAGAGAAGGCTGCATGTGTCTACCAAGGCTGCTACCTTGCACTCGAGTTCGTTTTGAACATCCTCCTCCTTGCTTTCACTACCGTCACTCTCATCGTCATTTTCACAGCTATTTTTCGGCAGTTCTTCTCTATTTAGCGTTTGTTGGGGGAAAGGTCATCTGACTCGAAGCTCTTGCTCGCTTCCAAGTGTGTGTGTGTTCGTCCCATCTATTCTGGCGCCGGTTCACAGGCTTTTCGGCGTATATTCCTGACGTATCAGCCGGGGTCACACAGGAGGAAGGTCACACAGGAGATAATATTACTTTGTGTTTTGTTTTATTGCTCCACATTTCCCCCTGCGGTGCATACCTTAGGCTTTATCGTCAAGGCTTGAGCAATTCCAGATACCGTATGGTCATTCACTTATGTGTGGCGTTTGCTTTGTGAGTGGATGGCCGAAACGCAACAAAACTTTGACGTTTACCAAAGCAAATACAGTTTCTTCTACTCACGTACACATTCCCAGGCCGGGGTGGTGCAGTCAGAGTCGCACAGCCTCTCGGAACATTCGCATTCGCAGCAGCTAGCAGTTCAAACGCGGCAGGGCGAGGGGAACAGATGACGAGAAAGGCAGTGGAGTTCGCTTGCATCGTTGACAAGGCATCCCCTCTGATGCGGAGTACCGGCCGTTGTTCCTTGTAGCGCGACCTACAGTACCTCCAATGTATCAGGCATTTGTTCGTTTGGACGATTTTCACACGAGTACAGTCCTGCTATCCTTTCCCTCCCTCATGTTGGGACTAAGCGGTGAGGGGGGGGGGGGGGATGGACATCGCGACGATGGACACCACTCTCGAGGCGCTGCAAATAGCTGTACCTGGAAACGAGTTGCTAACAGCAGTACTGCTCTAGAATCTGTTTCCAACAACAAAAATCCATACAGGTGATGTGTCTCGCGGAACCCTCCCAGGGTGCCAACGAGAAAAGCACCACGCGACACGTTGGCCAAACCAGATCCCCACAGGAATCAGAAGACCGTTACTCACTCGCCCCCGTCGTATCCGCACGACTCGTTGTTGTTCTCTGTGCAGGGGCAGAGAGTTGGCCAAAAACGAAAGCGCTGGATGGGTTAGATGTATTCAAGACGTCCGTTCATTGTCAGCAGGGCGTTGGCTTGTTGTTGTCGATCCCCAAAGAGTCGGTGTAAACTTCGCGTGCGCGGGGCGTCCCCAGCGATCGATGGATCCCAGTGTCTCCGCCCCGACACCACAGATGATCTCGATACGCCAACTATTGTCTTTGATGTGTTCTTGTGAATCCCGCCCCTTCGGGCACGCTACTAGCCAGTCCACAAGCATCTCCGACCATCGTTGCAATCAGGGGAGTTCCGTGCAGCCCGACTCAAAGCGGAACAACTTAGGTGGGAAGCAGCTCTCGTTCACAGCTTTTCCCCCAAGCATAGCAAAAAGTGCGCTTCTAGAGACATAGCTTAGAGGGAATCGCGTGAGGTTGCGGTGGGCTTGGGGCGAAGCCAGCAAGACAAACCTCGGCCACCGCCGCCGGCTACGTTCCCTGTTCGGCGAGGGTGATGGCTGCAAGGCTCGGCCACAGTCTGACCATCCCACACTCGCAAACGGAACCTCGCTATGCTACATGGATTACCAGTACTGCTTGGAAAACCCGCGCGCACCTCGAAAAGGAACATAGTTGCGAGAAGGGAGCTCTGCGGCCATGATGTAGAGAACCAGGATAGCACTACACTGTGGATTCGCCTCCCCGAGCGATCAGACACTGCATTTGTTGCGGTGAACCGTTGTGCGGACAAGCTACCGCGAAGCACTTTGGAACGACATGATGAGTGGATTACCTCCCCACGCACGACACAATAGGGGCAGACGGTCAGTCCCACCAGTCGACAAGAAGCCCGTAAGCAACCTGTGACGTTCCACTGCCCTCGGTAATCTTGAGACCGGGAAGGGTATACACCACGGAACGTGACTCGAACTCAGGCCAAAGGGGGACAACTGGAAAACCGCACGGTACCTTCGGACGAGGTGCATCGATGCGAACAGAGACACCAACGACCTTTCGAGGCTTACCGGCATCGCAGATTCCGTCTCCGACTGACGCGGGGGTGCCCGCCGCGAGGCACGAAGCTGCGCGATGCGACGGGCGCGAGCGTTTGCATCGGACGCGAGGAGGACTGATGTTGGAACGCTCCGATCGGACCACACAAAGGGAATTAGTACAGGCACTATTAATAGGGGAGAGCTGGTTGGGCGAGCGTTGTTGTACACCGTTTATCCTGCTCGGGAAAGGGTTGCTTTGTTCGTGTGCAATGTCCAATAACGGTGCTGCTTTGCCGCCCCCCTCACTGGATTGCTTTCTAGTCCTGATGACGTCATCCAACGCTGCTTTGGGTCAAGAAGTACAAGTATGACCATTTGCGGTCTGGATGCAATATAGGCCAACGCCATAGACAAGGACATAACTGTATTGTTTACGAGAAGCGACAGTATTCATGTGATACCTATGGCGGCTGAAACCCAAAACTACCCGCATGTTGTTTTTCCTGAGGCCCCAGAGAGGGGCGCTCCAGTGCACGCTCTCTGTGTTTTTGTAGTCAGGAAAAGGGACAGAATTCTTCTTCAAACCCGTTTTCCGCCCTCACGCGCCAGCGGTAAAGTCCAAGTTGCCAAACGCATCCGGCCGCCTTGCAACTTTCACGCAGCATTTATTTGGACAATCGAGCCCACCGCTGTGATGATGCGCGAAACCAAACACTGCCAACGAGGCGCGTTTACTGTTCGGTCTCGAAAACCTGTCAATCCTTTTCAAAGCTCCACACGAATTTCAAGTCATATGATAGTCAGCTCACCGCAAGTTTCTCCATCAGCACAAATTAAAGGCCTGAACAGGGATACGTCGACCTGCAGAAATCACATTTAAGTTTGCGTGCAGACCCTGTCAATGGCGGTGCACACTGCTGCGCGTGCGTTAGGCACAGGGCAATATGGTCCAGGGTACAGGAAACACGGTGACGTGCGACCTCAACTTTTTCCCGTCACCCCACATTTGAGTTGAACGCAACTTGACCGTCTGTGCCATATCGGGAAGAGAGGGAGATTATTCCATTGTTATGTACGCGGAGAGCGTTTCATCTCTGCGGTGCAGGCTGTGCTCCCGTTGTGGCGCTTATTTCAAGGCTACGGCACGACGTTGGCCGATTCCGTGGCATTTCGCACTCTCACCATGTTGTCCTTGACCGTCTGCGCGTTGTTCTCAGTAGCGGTTCCCGTAGGTTGGCCCAAGTACTCCACGTCCGGGTTTGAGAACTGGTTTATCAACAGGGCCTCTAAGCAATCATTCGAGTACGTCATTACGGTGCGAAACCTGGACGGCGCACAGTATCGATTCGCCACAACGTGCTGAGATATCATGGTGTGGGTGCGTGAGTGCGCGGACAGGCGCACACAGAAGTCCTCATCTCACACGATAAATAAAACTCACTTGTGTTGGGAACTGGATGCAGCTTTGCTATCACCGGCAAGAGTTCCTGCTAACCCTCAACAAAGCCTCAGGGCCATCTGTCCTCTTATTGCATCAGTCCGGTCGCTAAGACTGTACAGGTTCCACGGATGTTTATTTCTATGCCCACTAGATAAATCCGTTTGGTTGCTTGTTTCTCCGAGCAGTTACTGCTGAGCGAAAGCGGAGTCGATGTATTTTCTTCGTGTTGCGTTGAAACGGATGAGCGCTTGGTTCTTGACTGGCGAGAGCGAAGAAGAAGTGTCTGCGCGTACTAATACGAGAGGACCAAGGATTGGCGAATTTTATGAAAGGAAGGAAGTACAAAACAATCCCAACGCCTAACACCATCTCAAGAAACCCGGGCCATTCCCGAGGGTGGTGGTATCGATCGATCCACCCTAGTTTTCAGTTGGGTTTCTTCACATGCAAAACATATATCTTGCATGGTTTCAAAATTAACTTGTATGATTAAAAAAAAGACGGAATCAATCGTCCTCGACAATCGTTTGGGGGGTGGGATCCGTGTTAGAGGTCACCTCCACAAATTGCACAAATTGTTACTGGCCCCAGCACGGTATCAGAACTAGGTATGTACGGTTGGATGCGACACTCGACGATTGAGAGCTTGCACTGCTGTTGTATTCGAGCCGCATCGCCTCATGGCTGTTAGTTTTATTTATGCCCTGGCCTTCGTTTGCGTGTACGAAACATTCCCTTTGGTCCCTTTTTCACGCATCACATCGTCGCCTGATTGCTAACGCCACCACTCACTGAGGGATGCCCGTGCAGTAACGCAGACCATGTCCATACGCAGTCATTCCGGTGTTGGAGTTATCCCGGTCGTGGCGGCACCCCAGGTTGTGCCCAATCTCGTGCGTTTGTGTCCAGTTCGAGAAGCAAATGGAATCCATCAGGGAGAAGCCGAGAGCTTCGTTGAAATTGAAAATCCACCTGCAAAAGACACAGATGGACGCGCGAGAGCGAGCCACGTGTGTCAGATTCGGTGCTACAGCAGCATGGCGAAGCTTGATCTGGGGTCATCGCACAACGTCGACCTCTCGTTTTTCGGGATACAGATATTGTAGCGCCCTCAAGAATTGGCAGTTCAGAATTTCTCGCTCAACACAATATAACAAGCACCTTTGGTTGTGAGCCTGATGAAGAATCCCTAAGCTGTTGGCAGTCGTTTTTAGCCAACAAGAGGGACTGAAAACCCCAGCCAAAACTGTAGACTTTTGAGTGTGGGCGCTATCTGTACACACGTTGGAACGTGTCGACCCGAATCCAAAATCAGCAGAACACGACGTTGACGAAAGCCTGAGAGGCAAACCTATAGGGCTCAAGTTATGGTACCCCCGCCTCTCGGATACAACAAAGCCAGTCTTGTTCACATGCTGCGGATTCAGATGAGAGGCAGCACGGCGATCCATCCTCCTCGGCAACTTCTGTGTCCCAGCCAGCCTTTTCACCAAACGTTTGGCTGGAAAGACGAACAGTCACTGGAAACACTTCCCGCCAGCAACAACGGTTGGGCGCTGGGCATGCAGCAACAATAGCGACAAAACAACGAAATGCCACGCATTTATCTCGTCTGCTTCAAACTCCTCAGTGTCAAAGGAGCCAGTCAGCACGGCCACCCCACTGCAAGATCTTACCCCGACCGCCTGGCTTCGGGAATGTGACTCGCGATCCGAACTTACCCTCGTCCACACGTGTTCGGGAAATATCCGACCAGCAACACCAGATCCGCTTCGTGCTCGTCACGTAGAGCCGCCACTGCCGCGTTTCCCGTCATCGCATCAAGCTCGGGACCATAGTCGGTAGTGTCATCCAACATCTGGTCGTATGGTAGCTGTGCACAGCGAGGGTAAATGTTGATCAGTGCAGCACGCAGGTGAGCGAAGAGTTTTCGTTGTGGTCAAGCGAATAGCATGACTTCCTTTGCTCTCCACCGAAACTATCTCCCACAACTTCCGCGGAACTCGGCACCATGCACGAGAAGACCGGGGGTAGACCACTGACAGGTGGGACGGGGCCCAGAGTGGGAAAATACTCACCAGGTGTACGATCACCCACAGGGGTGAGCAAGGCACCTTATCCGAATTCCAAGCGTGATAACGCCCCCGTTTGATTCGGCTTTCGGTCCCCGTTCGGACGCGCTGAAAGAGACAAACGTCTTTTATATGGGACCAACATTTCACAAATATTCGCTTTTAACTGCCCGCACGCACACGTACGATGTACTAGTGGTTCTCCGTCCACAACCTCGCGTTACAACATCGTTCTCGTGAGCAACCTCATTCGATGGCGCATCAAGAGCCCACCTGTTCCACACCGACAAGGTTAAAGTCCAGCTCAATGTCTGAGTTGGAGGTGGCCAGATTCATTGGATCAACAGCCGCGCCGATCATGGACAGCAGCTGTGTTTCCGACCAGCCCCGAAATGTGTAGGCTTGCGGGGTGTATAGCACCAAAAAGTCGATCTTCATCCGTGAGGGAAGCAGGGAATCGGTAGCAAGGAGGATAGAGCGTTAGAGGCTGCGGCAAAGTCAGGTGTTGTTTTGGGGGAGCACGATGATATCATCTAGAGCTATTAGTAGCACTCGTTCGCGTGCGTTCACTATGACAAGGTGCGTGTGCCAGTAGTCAGCACAAGCGTTCCCCATTTCCTCTACGGTATGCACGTGGAGTACACACTAACTGTTGTCAGTGTATATTTTTGTCTTTAAATCAGCGCTCACAGCAATTACTTGTGCCGTTTACTCCAACCCCTGGTCACACAGAAGGGTCCCTCTCCCGGAGGGCCCCTACCCAACGCTCCTGCGGTACTTTGCCTTCTACTTTAATGCGAGAAGAGTGCATCACTCTCTTCCCTCTATGTAAACACGAACTAGCGCTTTCCACCCAGGCCAGGAACGGAAGCGAGAGAGTAACTCACTATACAAGAAACGCTCGATTACGCCAGCGTTCGAGCCCCTGACCAAGGCCACTAGAAGGTTTTCGAGGATATTAACTACACTACAGGTACATCACTGTTATTGGGATGGCTTTGATCGGGTTTACGACCAACTCGTTTTCTCAAATTCTGCGGACAACAGCGTATTCTTTACCACTGTGCAGCCTCGTGGCAAGGCGCACAACGGGGTAGAAACCCTGTCCGAAAAGTTTCGGTGTTCATATCTTCCGGGCTTCATGGATCACCTGGGTGTTGCCGGCCTGAAGCTCGCGGGAGCCGGGCGAGCCTCGACTGTGGAGCGATTCCTTCCCCACCGATTTCGTGGGCGCACGAATCTGTACAGAAGGAACCACATCCGTCGTCGAAGGCGATTTAGAGACAGACAACGCTGGCTGCAGCGTCGATCAATGAGATCGCGAGGAACACACGGCCGGAATATATATTTTTTCTCTCTCGGCATGTCGTTCGTGGCGATCGCTACTGTCCTGCTAGACAAATACATTCACGTGACAGGACCATGTTGCGGGATATCGAGTATCATCGCCTTCGATAACGACCGTCCCTCCGTCACGTATAGTAGGATGGTGTTGACTGCCGCAGGCGGACTGCGCTCACCGTTTTGAGCATGCGACCCTCTTGCCCCTCCACACTCTCGCCCGGGTTTTCCAAAGTCATGCTCTCAAAATCATCATCATCATTATCAGCTGATATGGAGTCCACCGCGGAATCCCCATCGTTGAAGACCACAGCAAGCTGAGAACATTCCAAGGGAAAGCGGAACAGTGTTAGCATCCAGGCTTTCGGACGATCCACCAGACACAACGAGCGACGCTGCCGTGGATTGTACCTTGCCGTACTAGCCCCTACGTCAACAGTAGGACCTGCGACAAGGATTGACCGCTTTTGGTTGTTTACGTGCCGCATGGTCGTTCACCGGTACCCGGGGGTAGTTTGTCGAGCAACGCTCTCCCACTTGGTCCCAATCAAACCGGAAAACACACGTTCAGGTGGTAGCACTGCTCTGGTGTTGCAATCAATTCCCATACCAAGCGTGCTGGGTAAGTAAATCAGTCAGTCATTCGACCCCCTATACCCTAAGTAATCAGGTTGTAGTGATACACTTGCACCATCCTAGTTTGATGCTCAAACAGCACAAGTGAACTAACCTCCACCATACAAACTTCGCTGCTGGACCCGGCAGCGCACGGAATGGATCTGACAATGGACGTGCTGCCGTCATTGTTGTGTGACACGACCGTCAGGAGGAACGACTGAAGAACGTGGAAGTGGAGGACAACGCGAAACGACGCAGGAAACGGGACGTTTAGACGAAGAAAGCACGACCAAGCATCTCATCTGGTTCCAAAATATCAGTACGGACCGTCCGAAGACGATGGCACAGCTTCGACCGAACGGCCGCCAATGCCCCCGATTTGGTGCCATCCGCAGGCACCTATTACAGCCTCAGGGAGTGGCTTCCCTGGACTCTACAGACAAGATAGGTGGAGCGGGAACACGCCATTCCTGTTCCCTGTTCCATGCCATCGCGTCCCAACCATACCAAACGCCATAAACATTCAGGTATGAGACGCGGCAAGCTCCAGTGCGCGCGCGTGGTCAGCCAGGACTAAAATGCAATAGAAACAACGAACGAAAGAAGGGGTAGGGGCGGGGGTCGCTTCTGACGGAAGCCGTTGACGAGCGTGCACAATCTGCGTATTCTAGGGAGCTTTGGGAGGAGGTGGTGCTCGGCGTGGAATCTGCACCCTCTAGAATCTCCACAAGTGTTGATTTCTTCTCGGGTTGTAAAAAAATCGACGGCGGCTTGAGCTGTTCTTGAGGCACTTTTTCCCCTTCAAGACAATGGCCAAACGGGATTCCGTGCTTTTTTTCACGTGAGGCACCTCATGATGGGAAGACCGGCATCGCTTGAAGCGTTAGCAGGGAGTACCTGTTGCACTACATTTCCCGAACTACTCACAAACATGAACCGCCACACCTCTTGAATAACACCACCTTGAGGTAACTTCGTATTTGACACCAATGAACCCTTTCCAGATGAGCTCATGAGCGCTTCGAATGACTTCGCTAGTTGAAACCATTCACGCGGCGGGAGCACCATAAAGAGGACCCCGCAGGCCAAAGCTCGATACAGGAACAGTTTGTCGGTTGCGGTCGACCATAGGCCTCACCAGAGAGAAGCAAGAGTTCCTACCCAATACCATGTCGTTTTTTTCAGACGCCGTGCTAGACCACACACCGTTACCGTACACACGAAGTGGAACACCCGAAAGGCAGAGCAGATGCCAAACGGGACGCTTCATGACACCTTAAACGTGTAGCCCGAAAATTCTTTCTGGCCGTACCTCAACGCCACATGGGTTGGTCCACGTCATACTGACAGTCCTTGGTGCCGAGCCAGCGGGAGGTTCAGGATCGACGACCTCACCCATCCAGGTCTAGCCGCAGAAGGACCCCACAAGGAGGTGTTGGAGACGCCGTGACATTTGAGTGAGTGCGTACGGGATAAGATAGTTCTCAACAGACGCGGACCGTTCGAGTTCAACGCCCACAGATACAACTCTAGGTGGAGCAAACGATCGATCGAATTGATAGGGATCAATATCTTCGATTCTCGACGCCTCTGAAGAGCGGTCACTAGCACCCTACATGAAACGAGCCAACGTGCGCGAAACTGGAGGACGACACTACAGCAGTGCTCAAAATTACGTAGGGCGTACAACGAGGGGCACATCTGGTAAATATGTTGAGTCTACCCCCCTCCCGGCCCTGAAACGGTCAGGTGGAGTGGTCTGGCATCATGAACCGACAACCAAGAGATGGGGTGGAAAACATGACGGCAACGGGTACTGATTGATTAGATATTCTGAACTTATTACACGAAGGCCAAAGGATTGCTCGGGTTGTCAAATAAGTTCCGAAACTTGTTCGTTGCTTCTTTCTAAATTGACGAGAGGGGGCAGCCTGCTCAACGCCGTATGCAACAGTGACTCTAAAGCAGAAAAAGCTGCTCCGATACGTTCTTCGGTGGACTCCGAAAGCATTTACCTGTTGGTAGGCGCACTTACCTTGCGCGTCTCGCCGTCCGGAAAGATGTTTCCGTCGATGGACGAGTATGAGGTGCGCTCTGCAATCACCGTCTGCAAGCGATATGTGGAAATCCATCAGATAGAACACGGAGTTCCGCGGGATGTTTGGCGTTGAGAGAAAACAAGACAGACAGACAGACAGACAGACAGACAGACAGACATATGAAAGAACAGGACAGGCAGAAAGGGAAAAACAGTGGCGCTGACCTTCTTCCTTCTCAACAGCGGGGGCATCACGTGAACAAAGCGGCACACACGAGCACCGAACTAGAGCAAACGGACCAAATGATGCGACATAAATTCTGAAGCAAGCACGCAGGCAGGCATGCACACAGAGGGCGCTATTCACTTCGTTGACCAATCTGAAAAGCATGATGGGGGTAGTACTGTAGTTTGGCTGCAACGGTACGCGAAAGGGGACTTGAAAGCAGGCGCTTTCATTTTGGTCTTGAGGCTGGCTCCGCAGGGCGCCCATCGATCGAGGTACGACAAGTTTGTCTTGTCATGTACTGTCCTTCTCTCCGCCTCAAAGCGTCGCGCGAGATCGACCACGTGCTGCTCCACCTCTTTGTCGCGCTTGCTCGCAAACGCTTACCTCAGTGGAGCTGATATTAAACCGCAAGAGGGTTGAGTCCGAGGCATCTTCCAGGCTGTCACAAAGCAGCTCGCCCAGCCCGATATGCACCACAACTAGACACGGGCGGCAGAGCACGGCAGAGACGGGGTAGGAGAATAATGTTGAGAAGATGGGTTGGATTTTATCGGATTGGATTGAAGTCATCTTGACAAGCGTAAATCATACCGCCCCTTCTCTCTGCCCGTCAACAACGTTGAGTTCGCTCCCGCCACGAGAGGTCCATCGGCCCGAATGGTGCTCCGCTCTTGCAGCAAACTGACCGTGCTCCTTTCGCCCAGAGGTCACCTTTCTTGAACTTATGCTGTAGCTCTGTCAATGCTTTTGTAGAAGCGAGCGAAACACTCATGTTGCTACCAACACCATGATGCCAACAGCGTGTGTGACAATTGCGTGCTCATGAGGGCAGCATCCGTTACCCCACGTCCCTCGTCACTACCCGCGGCTGTTACAGTTTTAAGGAAGGCTTTCCTCCGCATCCCTCGCGAGCGTCCCAGGCATTATTGGTCGCACAGCAAGAGCTACAGTAAGTCTCTCTGTTTTCAAGGGATCTCGGATATATTCTGAATTAGGTGACGTCGTCAAGACCAGCACGGCAACAACAACCCAACGAGGCTTAAGCATTGCCAACACCAAGACGAAAATCACTTCCGTTGTCTGCCTCTCGGAACAAGCAGGGTTTACTTCCAGAGTCGGACCTGGATAGATAGCACCCCGAAACAACACACAACTCGGCTGTTTCTACAAGCTCTTGCATCGCCCCAACACTCGTCAGAACACGATCGTTTTTGGGAACTAAATCCGCCATTGTACAGTAGTACCGCTGCGATGCGATCCGGTTTCATAGCGCACACGTTGAATGCCACAGGCACTGCGACAGCAAATACCCTGCCTGTGGCCAGTCAATGCGTTCGCTGCGTTCCTATGATCTAACAGTCCAGCCATAAACTACGCCTCATACACACTACATCGTTCCATCGAGATCTCACCTGTGGCCTGAGGATCCGATTCGAGGGCCGCAACAAGTTCTTGTTCGATCTCCTCCTCATCCGAAGCGATCGGATGTACTTCACCAACACCCACGTCAGACACGTCCTCCTCGGCGAACCTTGTCCACACACTACGAGTTGCTGATGGGATTCCGCCGTCGGGAGCTTGGGCGCGCGTAAGCTGGAGGAGAGGGGCGACGCCTACGGCGAAAAGGAGGCCTCCTAATAGCCTCATTCTGGGCGGTGGGATGGGATGGCACATGACCGAAGGATATGTAAGAGGTTGCCCTTTACGTTTTAGAGTCGTCTTTCGTTGTACATCAATGATGGGAACCGGTTTCTGCAAACTTTTAACACAGCGTTGGTTCCAGTTAAGGCAGCCAGGACAAGAGAGAAAAAGAGAATGATTACCACATGCAACGAGAAGGTTACGTGTAGGTCCATCATGCCTCAAATTCGGCCTCAACACTTTTCCGCAAGGAAGAAGGGGAAGACGCCACAAGCCAGTATTTTGTTCTCCCGTTCTTTCATCCGTGGACCCAGTCTTGTTGGCTGTGTGAACTGTGTTGAAACATCCCTCAAACATGAAACTGCTGAGATGCTACAATAATCGTGCACCGGTTCGGGGTATTGGCGACAGGTTGGGGATGGAATCCACCCTTGGCGTCAAAGTCCGGGTCTGCCACAATTTCTACAGTTTTGCTTAACCGCCCATGGGACACCCATGGGCAGCCTATGGGACACCCGTGGGCAGCCCATGGGGCACCCATGATTGGCCTATGGGCATGCCCATGGGTAGCCCGTGGGCAGCCATGGGCGCCCAATGAGTGCCCTTCAACCGGAACCTGTGTACTTCTCAACAATATATTGTCTGCTCTGGAACGGGCACTATATCGGCTAATGACCCTAACGCTAACCCTAACCCTAATCCCAAGCCCACACGACACGTGCTAGGTTGGCGCTGGGTGGGTGAGTTTTGCGTTCATGTACCGATGGCTAAGTTCTAGGTTGTTTTGGCGGTGGTGAGTGCTAGGTTAAAGTGCACACTTCGTGGGCACTACATGGGCCACCCATGGACATGCCCATGGGTCACCACCCATGGCCCATGAAGTGCCCATGGGCGGTTTAGAAAAACTGTCAGTAGCGTGGGAGATTGCAAAGCCCCGGGGAACCGTTTTGTAGGACTTCCCTGTTCGTCTCTGCGTGTCGACAAGGCGGTGCATGGGGCAAAGAGCCAGACACCCGTGGCATGGATATGGATGGAGATGAAGAGAAGAAGACCTCTTTGTCACACAGCACGGTTGTCCGCGGCAACCTGCTATTCCCGGTGGTTATCCGTGCTGTTCCTTCTACGTTTATTCATTCCGGTACCCACCTTTGGCTTGCGATCCGGGCGACGACGCCCACTGGAGGCGACCGGGCCCTTCGATGCCTTAGTTTATATTATTTACCGTAATATGGGGACACATCGAACATGCAACAGGGAACAGGGAACAGGGAATTCCGAGTTCCCTGGTCCTAGTTCCTCTTTTGATCTACTGTAGAACGTTAGTTGATCATTTTTTTCCGTCTTCAATTCAAACGAGCGCTCACCGCACCTGTGCATTTTACTCCAACCCGTGGACACACCGAAGGGTTACTCTCCCTGAGGCCCCCTACCCACCGCTCCTGCGGCACTTTGTCTTCGAAATTTTTTGCGAGAAGAGTGGAACACTCTCCTCTTCCCTCTGTGTACACACGAAGTATTTTTGAGCTTTCCACCTAGGCCAGCAACGGAAGCGAGAGAAAACCTCACTTCACAAGAAATACTCGCTTGCGCTGGGATTCGAACCCCTGACCCTGGCCACTAGAAGCTTTTCGAGGATACCAACTAGACTACCGCGGCAACCGGCATCCATACACGCCCTATGGTCTTCGAGGTGGCGAGTTCTAGGTTTCTCGAAACTTGGAAATTGATTATTGTGAAACCCCGGGGACAACGAATGATCCCCGGGGGGGGAAGAAGTGAATCATCCCCTCGGTCGAACACTATCTTCGGACATTTGTTATTTTGTTGTTTCTTTGATCCGTTTTTTTGTCTCGTGCCCTCCTGGGGCCTCCTGGGGATGTATCTTTTGTCCCCTGAATTGCGGACGAACAGAATCTGGAACCGTAAGTCCCCTGAATTGCGGACAAACAGAATCTGGAACCGTAACGCCGATTTGTGCCTGCCGTTTGCGGATGGAGGTCGGTCTGGTTTATATCGTGAGCTTGAAGTGGCGGAGGGGCCGACTCCTCTACAAAAATATCCTTGAACAGCGGAACAATTGGTCTAGATAACCGGGTGTCCCACGCTTTCGATAGTTTTCCTAAATCGCCCATGGGCGCAGTCCCATGGGCGGCCCATGGACCGTCGATGAGTTACCCTTCAGCCGGAACCAGTGTACTCCGAAAAATTGAGTATGCTTTGGAAGGGGCATTATAATACACCTAACGCCAACCCTAACCTTAACTCTAACCCTAACCCCAAGCCACGCAAAACGTGTTAGGTTTTCGCTGGGTGGCGAAGTTCTAGGTTGATGTACCGATGTCAAAGTTCTAGGTTAAAACGCAGGTGGCGAGTTCTAGGTTGAAGTGCCCACGGTAGGAACTTAGTTCATGGGCCGCCCATGGGACCACCCATGGGCGGTTTTTCAAAAGTGCCGGTAGTGTGGGCGATTGGCATAATCAGTCAGCGTTTCAGCGCATTTACACGGCCATGTGTTTGTTGTGAACGGTGTGTGAACTACTGTACACAACAAAGCGGTAAACGTGTTCCATGGATTCAGGCCGCACCAAATGAACCGCTGGCGCCGTGACAACAATGACCGCGTTTTCATTTCCGAGAAAAGGGTATGAATACAATGTGTAAATACCAAGGCAGAGTTTTGCTTTCTTCTATCCGGCGGTACTCTCAGGTATAGAGACGGAACTGGAAAACGTGGAGTGCTAAAGAGTTTTTCACCCGCGCGCAACAATCTCGTCTACATAAATAGTGTATCCTGAGAAAACGATGGGGTTGCAAGGGACAAACGGCAGGCGGTTGGGATACGGACGAAAAAATCCGAGGAGCGAATCTTCATGTATTCATGCATGCTTGTCGTTCGCAATCTTCCGCAAAGGAGAAAAAGGGTGTTTCAATCGCCGAGCTCGTCATCGCCAACCAGTGGTTGGTAAGAACAAGCGAAGTGAGCGTCAAATTTCCCCCGTGCGGTGACCGGGAGGTCGATTTTCGCATGAAAATTCCAAAATATCGGACAAAAGTGAGCACATTTCGGACAAAGGCGGGTCACAAAGAAAGCGGGACAAAGGTGAGTATGTCACATGGAACAGAGAGTAGATTTCGGTGGAAGGACCCGCCGGAATTTCGGGCAAGATTAAGCGACCTGTCGAGGCCTTGTACGCCGCGGTGGTGTATGGGGTGAAGGCATGCCCGAAAGTCCGTATGAATGGGCCTCATCCATGTTGTCCAGGCATCAAAATGGACTACAATTTTGGTGGTAGGGCTCTGTCACGTGTGGTCTCCGCGAAACAACTACATGTATTTTCGGATACCCACGATTTCAATCCGTGGCTATTTTATTTTCCCCCAAAAGAACACACCCAATCAGACAGTTACCGAGAACCGTTCCGCTGGCATAGGTTGATTCCAAGTGGCTGCTTTCGGCGTTTGTTTCGTGTCGAGGTTTGAGGAGACGGCTCGCGCCGTGGGAGGTTGGCACAATTTTCATGTGTGTGGTTTGGAGTCGACCTCGATCAGGCTTCATTTTTTTATGAACACCGTCTTGAGTGAGGAAAGGCTAAGACTCCTACAGTAGTGAGACTTTTTGTTACCCACCACATCGTCCATTCATTCTCGGAAAATCACGCAACCCGCACTTTTCATTCATTGCCATCACGATGGATGGGCGAGCCCGGAGATATGAGCAACTGTTCGGAAATCAAAATTATGTGACACTTACACGCTGTGAAAGCACTCAAAAATGAACTCGAGTACAGGGTAGCAACCTTGGTAGTACGGTGGTAGCAGCCTTGGTAGACACGTGCAGTTCTCCTCTGTTGCTACCGTTTCTTCTGTATCATTCCGGAATATAGCTTTTCTCCCCCATGCCGCCCCCTAATGGGGTCCCAGTTAAGGGAATTTACATGTCGAACTGTTTTGTGTTTTCAACAGCACTGAAAGGGAACGTCGAAAGACAGAAGACAGGACTGCAGCCGAAGAGAGCAGGACGAAGAGGGCTGAGCGGATAGCTAGAATGATGTGTTCCGGACTGATGATGATGATGTAGACGACAGCAGGAAAACCAGCCGGACGTACCAGGTCTGTGAGAAAAAAATCGAGACACATAGGCCTACTAATCGAAAATCGGGGTCATTTTTTTGGGGGGGGGTTCCCATAGTCGTGCATGCCGTAGTCGTTAGACCAATGACCTCGCATCCCTACAAAGCCGGGACGCACGCCGGGTTCGCACCGGACCAGGCTCTCACATCACCAAGCGCGAAGCGCCGGGAGTTATTCGGCGAGTCGCATGAAGGGTGCGCTGCATCCTGCTAAGGGTGTTCGGCATCTTGTGCTTACTTCCTTGCGTACGGATGACAGCTGCGTATGACTTAATTTATTTTCTGGTGCTGTCACTTCCAGAGACAGTTGTAAGCACTGTGTAACTGCCTCGAGGATGCTTGACCGTTTTAACATAACGTGGTGCGATCATCCCCCTTGCGCGGAGTGAGGGTTCTCCACCCCGCACAACATGATCTACTCGACCACGATTATGGTTACCGCCGAAAAAAATAAAAAACGAGGAAAAAAAAAAAAAACGGTAACCTGGTTGCCGAGTTCACGAAGTGAATTGGATTGTTAAACACCGAGGGGGGGGCTTGATATACAACGTCGTTGCCAAGCGACGAAAACCCAACCCCGATGGCAAACACCGGGGGGGGCGGCATGTTTTACAACGTCGTTGCCAAGCGACGAAAACCCAACCCCGATGGCAAACATCGGGGAGAGGGATCATTTGGGGGGGGGGGGGGGTCTTTTGGGGAAGGGGCCCTATACCCCTGCCTCCCCCAGTTTTCCCCCCAAGCATCCGCCCCTCCGGGGGGGGGGGGGGGAAATACCCTTGTAACCCCCGGGCTGCCCAGGGCTTGGTACCTCCGCGTCCCCTTCTCCCATGGGGGGGCTCCCCCCCGGGGCCGCCGGGTCCCTCTGGGGGGCTGTGGAGACCCCCCAAAAAAGGGGAAAACCCCCCCCACTAAGGGCCTCCTCCCAATCTTTTCCTCTTGGAACACCCTACATATAATTTTCGGCGCGCCCAAGGGCTAAGGGGGACCTTCCCCCCCCACTAAAGGGCCGGGCCTGGGGTC